ACTGACTGGGAGCCTTTTCCAAGCAGCCGTAAATGCAACCATCTATAAATATCCTGTTACCCCGTGCTCTTTTGTGCAGTTAGGTGCATGTAACTCCATCCAGCCCTGCTAGCTTTTACAGCAGATTTCACAGACTTGCAGAGTCTTTGCCAAAGTTGTCTATGAGTTTGAAGCAAAACATTTCATTGTGTACCTAAGCAATCTTCTGTGTTTATGATGATCTAGAAGGAGTCTGAATTATTCAGTGGGATAGATGCAGGCTATGTCACTGAGGAAAGTGTCTTTACAGAATGTAACATGACATCATGGACGCACACAAACATTCTCAAGGCCATTTAAAACTTTGTTTTTAGATGAAGCTTTGCTAGACAAAGGCAAAAGAGAGTACAGGCAGATGAACTATGAAATTTCTAAACACACACCATAAATAAGTGGCCTGTTCTTTCTTTTCCCTGTTAATCCAGATCAAGGGACAGTGAGTGCTTCTTGATCAAAGATCTTCAGTTACATCAAACATGTAATAGATAGAGGCAGTAGCTTATTTTTTTTCTTATAAACCTTGCCAAGAGGCTCTGGGCATTTGAGTATAAACACCATCCCAGGCAATCTGAGGCACACACTTCTCTAGGGTAATGACTCAAGGAATTTGGCCCAGCTCTGACAGGGGTTAGTCATAAGGCTGCCACCCACCATTTTAATCTGGGCTGAATTGCTTCCCTCTTCTAATCCTATTTGATAATGGCCAGAATCCAAAAGGTTCAGATAAACGCCCTCAAGTTTGGATTTCTGTCTAAACCTCCTAAGCCTGCAAAAGTGAGCTGACATGTCCAGATGATGGACTCTCTCTTTAGATTTTTAGTGCTTGCTGCTATCTGCTTAGGATGGAAATACCATGATAATAACTTTTTCTGTAGTACTCAGTGCATCTGCTTCCTGTCCCAGCTGGAATTAGGAATGACACAGGTGATTAACATGAAACAAGATGAGGCAAAGCCAAGTATCCAAGTATCCAAACTTTTTTAGATGTCAATAAAAGGTCAGTTGGAATTTGATTCAGAGAGATCTGGGGAAATGCTTCCATTTTACCAGATTCAAACTAGTCTCAATTTGGATTATGACAAAAGCCCATCCAGCAAAATAATTTATCACACCAGCTCTTTGAGGAAGAGAAAACCACTTTTAATGAGACCAAAGTCACCAGAAATCCTAAATGAGACAGGGCCCTCTCCAAACACCAGACTAAAACAAAACTTTAAGAGTCACCCTTAGCTTTGCAGATGTCTACAAAGGCTCTTAGCACTTAAATGAACTCCGTACTATGAACCCCACCAAAACAACTACACTTGCTGCTGTGGAAAAAGTTTGACCCCATATCTGTCTATTGTGAAGGCAAGCTTATACATCCATTCTACAGACTGGATATAGTTTAAAGTTTACTCTCAGAAAAGAAAGTTCACTGTTACAAAGCCACAAAGCCAGGCAGTCCTTTCTCCATTAGGTTCCCTTCTGCATCTTACCACTGATGGCTCTGGCTGTCAATGCCATGAAAGTAAGACTGCACTTCCCTAGGAGATAAACCTACTGAGAACACCATCACTTAAAATAAAGGAGAAAAGAATATAGGGGAAATTACTGCTTTTGAAAGCATATATAGCAGCATTAAAAATGCACTCACTTGAAGGAAAAGGAAGGGCTGTTCTGCAGAGGGACAGCGTGAAGAGACAGAGTTTGTCCCAGGACAACACCATTTACCCCGAGGGCGAGTGAAGCTGCTTTGGAGGTAGCCCTCTTGGAAGTGGGAAGGGTGATATAACCCCAGCAGGGTTTGAAGGAGAGACATTAGCAAAAGCCTGGGAAGAGTCCTGGCCTGGGCTTGGTTAAAAGAGGGGAGAGGCTTGGCTAAAAGAGGGGAGCAGTTTTCCCGGGGAGGAAAACAAAGGAGATAAACCAGGGAAAAGACCTCCCCATGGCTGCCCCTCCTAGAGCCCCTGGCAGAGCCCTGTAGAAGTAGCAGGAGAGGCTGAAGCGAGAGTGCTGCACTGTGTCCTTCTCCCTCCTTTCCTCCTTGGAGCCCTGCTGGGGCAGAAAAAGAGAGGAGCTGTCTGTGAGGAGACTCTGAGCCTGGGAAGACCCTCCTGCAAGCCCCTGTGTGGCTGAGTGAGCACAGCAGGGGAGGGGGACACGGGACCAAGGGGAGACTGCTGGAGACTGCCCTGGCTCCCCCTCCCCCTGCAAAAAGGCCCCTGGGAGGCGCAGGCTCAGGGGGGTGGAGGGAACGCTGGGCTAGAGGGGCAGAGACTGCTCCAGCCACCAGAAGCCCCAGGTCAGGCAGGGCCCAGGGGCTGCCTTTGCCAAGTGCTATGAGGCTGTGCTGGGCAGGGGAAACTAC